CCCCCGCCCCCCCCTCGAAGTTATGTACCTGGCTTCTATTTTATTAATACACTCATTCCACTCATTCTTGAAAAACACTCAGACTGCAGAAAATCCAAAGTGTTTTGGAGATGTTACATACGCATCAAGCATTTAGTAGTCATGGCAATGTTTGTAGGAACTAAATGCCACAGTAAGACATCTGGAAGGCAAAAGGCTGAGCAAAAGGAAGCTTTTTCTAAACTAGCACTCAGGAAACTGAAGTTGTATAAGGAGGAAAAGAAAAAGAAGAAAAAAAAATTGACTAGGAAAGATGCAAATGTCAAGTCAAGGCAGAGACCCCCTTCACTTTCTTTCAGAATCCCGTTATCCATATAAAGCAACACTCGTACAGCAATTGAGAGCTGGGGTTTACAATGAAGTCATCTTCAGGTGGCTTGAAACCCAGCTGGGTGCTCCTTGGTGAAAAATGAAGTTACACAAGTTCTTGTGTCCTCCCTCCCTCTTCTCACAGCTGCGCTTTTTGAGGTAGACATCCCCCACTATCCTTCTCTTTCCTTCCCTCACTGCTCTGTCCTCCACAAGCCTGCAAGATGCTGCAAACCGTTCCCCTCACCTTGTGTAGGAAAACACACACCCTGGGGCTGTCACGCACAGGTACTTTGGTACGAAGCTACCCGTACAAAAGGTCTTCCTCTCTGCAACTACTTCCTACCACCAGCGGAGGCCAGAAAAGTAATCTTTGTGCTGGGTAACTCAATGAAATGTAGATAATCAGAAAGTCTCGCTTCTTAAGAGTAAGCATCAGAAAGTTTACCTTGACACAGGGGTACCGTAACTAGCCCGCTCAAGGCAGAAGAGAAGAGATGGCATGACTAGATCTTCTGGCAAGTCAACAGACCACCATGATGGACAAGAGCAAGCAGACCCCACTTGCATGGCCACTCCAATATGAGTTTTAATAAAACTCTCTTCAAGTATATAAATGTGATACAATATTCTCTAAGCCATGTCCTCACAGCTGCAAGAGGAAGACTTCCATCAAAATAACAAGAATCAAATTATTTGATTTCATTATCAAATCAATAAAATCAAATATCAAATCAAATAATCATATCATTTTATTGCTTTAAACCCGCTGTTGAAAAGGTTTGTAGCAGATGCAATTTTAAGGGGTTAAAAGAGTGATTTACTTAAGTTAGATTGCTAAAAAAAAAAAGCACAAATTTGAAAGATACAAGGGCTAGAAGAGGTCTGCCTTTAGTCTTATTTCCTCTCCATTTAATTTTGTAGAGGAAATCTGAACTTTACAATTTGATGAATGATGAAGTATTCATTGGCATTTGAAACCAAAAGAATGAGGACAAGAGTAGTCCAAGGAAGCTATTAATGCAGACATGTGTGTGTTTGTTTTTTTTTTCCTCTTAAGCCCCTGCCAAGTAACTTCAAAATTATTTTGATACTATTCTGGATAGCAGTATAACTGATACTGGCATATACACCAACAAAACTGTACTTCTGTGAAAATTCCAGGACTTACACAATTAGTTTTCCACAATAGCCTAATGTTATGAAATAGAAGTTATTTTGCAACTGACACAAACAGAGGGCTTTACTCTGATGAAAAAAATATATGATTTTGACATGTCCTCCTACACAAGAAAAATCTGAAAGATTTAACAAAAGCAGTTTCACTGTATAAGGTGCATTTATTGCTGTTCTACAATAAACTTGAGGGAAAACCACATTATTTAACAAGCTGGTTAAACACAGAGAGCAACTCAGAATCCAGTCTTACTCTGGTATCACAGGTTATTTATTTGACTTACAAGGTAATTCTCAGTATTGCTTGAAGTTTTTAGTGCACAAAATTAAATTTGTCTCAGAAGACGTCAACAATAATAGTATTTTGAGCCTCACAGTGTTCAACTTGCACTGTAGGTTCCTGAAAAATCCACTGTGGCTTTTGCCCCATGGTACTAGCTAGAAGTTTTTGAAGATTATACCAGAACTCATGACAAAGCTCCAGGAGATTACACCCAATTCTGTGTCAGCCTGTATTTTGTGAATACTGACACTGTCAGTTATACCATACGAACTTGGTTTCAGCAAAAGTTCAAGCTGGTCCTACTTAAAAGAAACAGAAGTTTCCAAAGAAAGCAATGTTTTCTCACAGCTCTGATACAAGCTAAAGAATAAGGACACTTCGACTTGGTCCATTTTTTTTTCCATTAAAAAAAAAGGATGAAGGGAACATTGTCAGTTAAGTTTAAACATCACACATCGCATAACCCAAGATACAATGCTTTCTCTGACATCGCACTGTAAGAACAAATTGCTTCAGCTCACATTAGATGTAACATAGGCGGTAAAAGTTCAGAGCTGTGTATCCTGAAAGAACTCTCACTAGAAGGCAGACTGCCTTCTAACAGGCTTTTTGTGATGGGAAGTTTATTCTTGATGTCAGAACTAAGAGGAAGCTATTCCATTATACGTTTACTATGTGAGTAGCCACTAGAGCTGAATAGCCACACGTAGAATTGATGGTGAAGCAGCAGTACAAGAACTGCAATAAAAATGGAACAAGTTAGCCACAGTACTGCTGCTTAACATGCCAAGTCTCTTCTACAAAGTAAATGTTACTTCAAGTAAGTACAAATCCTTCCAAGCTCCTTTCAAATATCACGTCCACTATTTATATATTTACTTTTGTTCTTCCCCTAATAAAAATAATTTGTTGTGCTTCTCATGGCGTATCTGTGTTACGCTATCATGTATTCTTCCTCTGCTGATTATTCAGTTTTGTTAGGGGACTACAAAATAAATTTCTGGAGCACTTGGTATTAGAATAACCAAACAGCTTTAATAAAAAGTGATGCTGCCATTAAAAAGGCAGAGCATTAAAAAAAATTAAAGCTTTTTATTAACTTATCACTAAAATCTACAATATTCCACAAAGGTTACATACTCACAGCAACATTACGCTGTTAAGGGGACAGTACAACATTTGTCAGGATCTGTTTATTATCCGCATATGCAATTTATGAGCCAGTTGATCTACAAGATATTATTTACCACAGGCAAACTAAATACTGTGCTTTTAAGAAACCTGCATAGAAATTATTTGATGTTTCTTTTATTTTGGACGTATTTACAAAAAGGATTTCTATGTGTATTAGCAATAAATAATCCAAATATTCAAAATGTCAGTGCTCATGCACACACCGACAAGATGATTGCATGCTTTAAAAATATTATTTACAGTACAGTCTCCTTCACAGCCCTCTCCCTAATAATAGCAGAAAGTGCATTTTTCTTTCATATTCTTTCTCCCTTCCTTTTGTTTTCATTTAGTCTTGCTTTTGAGGGATGCAGCCTTCCATCTCAACAACTTCTGGCCAGCCTTCATACTTGTTTGTGTCCTTGTTGTTCTTTATATGCTATAAACAGAAAACATCAATCTATTGTTAATGTAAAGTCATCTATCCTTTTGCTTTAATTCACAGCTTTAAAGGACATTTTATTTACTTATTTTCAGGCCATGGATAAAGAGAAGACATCACTACTAGCCTCTTGTGCTTTGTGTCAAATATAACAATCTCTCAGTATTCACCACTTAATGTAACTTGCTCAGACAAGCATATGCTAAAAACAATTAAGCCACACTGGGAAAACATTTTAAAAATTTATTATGGGTGTTTATTTAGGAAGACACAAAAGCACAGAAAAGACCAACTGCACTAAAACATGAACCACTAGGAAGAAACAAATAAGGATCCTAAATTTATAAGGCACTGGAAACAAATAGTCAGATTTAAAGAACATGAAATAATGTTGAACATTCGCCTTTTCTGACAATTTGAGGTTTATTTTTCCACCAAGAAACCATCTGCAGTCAGGTAAGACATTACTGCCTCCAAAAGTTTGCCACTGCTCCTGCACTAGTGCCCATGCCCTTGCAAATCTGGCAAAAGAGAACGTGCCTTCTGACTCTCCTAGTACAAAGCTACCTTTACTGGTAATTAAGGCAACGATGACACATGTCAAATTGTAACAGCTAAAGTATGGGAACATACTCTATTTCACAAATTTTGCTATGGCAGCAATGAACTTTTGACAGAAGAGCAACACGAGCAGCTGGGAACGCCAACACCTTAACTACCACTTACCTGCTGGAGGTCTACCATTGTTAGTGCATCTAAAATACAAGCGTTCGGTGGTAAGTTTTCTTCAGTTTAACTGGATTCATTAAAACGATATGATCTAGTTATTGGGACAATAATATCTACCCTATGTAAGATTTCTGTCTTATTAGGCGGTAAGTTTTGCTCAGTTTAACGGGATTCATTAAAAAGATAAATGATCTAGTTATTGGGACAATAAGATCTACCCTATGTAAGATTTCTGTCTTATTTGTAAATCAAAGAAACTTTTTTCTATGTTTAAAAGGAGGAGGCTAGTCAAGGAATAAACTTGAAAATGACAGTGTGCCACTACTGCAACAGACAGCCGTCTTGAAAAAACACATGGTATTTATAAAACACGCTACACCTTTATTAATGTAAACTGTTAAATTCCAGTAAGTTATAGAATCACAGACCTGTTCAAATGGACTTTTAGTCTTAATTCCTTTTCCACCGCAGAAGACCCAGTTGTCTCTAAAGCCAAGGTTAGTAATAGATGTGCTTCCTAATTCAGCAATCAGTTTCCGTGCTTCCTCATTAAGCCTTGAGCAAAACAGAGAAGTTCAGGATGTGAATAAAATAGATGCTCTTAGAGCTTTCATTGTTCAATGGACCATTCAGCTTCAATCTGATTAAATACAGTTTAAGTCAGCCAACACTGGGAAAGAGCTCTCTTTCAAAATCAGATAAGGTTAGTTCTGAAATCACCTGATCTAATGAGCACTGCTCTTTAATACTATAATCTCAAGGAACCAGCACACAAACCTATCAGTACACCAACAAAAGCCAAGAACCCTCTCCTGGCAGAATTTATACATACATCTCAAGTCACGTTAGCAATTCTCCAAGCAACTAAAAAGTCAACCTTTAGAGTAAACACTGTTTGCAGGCTGAAGTTGAAGTCTAGATAAAGTAAAAGCTATTTTAGATTAGAAGAATGACTTAAATATATGAAAGAAGGTCTTGTCTGCCTGGGTCAATTTACTCAAAATTCAGAATGCTGCCCCTCAACACGGTTCAGTGCCTATAGGTCCAAGTAGGATAATTTTAGTATTGAAGGGAAAACGATCCTGTAGGATGATAAGTTATCATTCCAAAACCTCCAAATAATAGCTCTTTATTTCTTCCTTCCAGTTACTATATTTGCCTGATTACTAAACACCACACACAACTTCTGATTATTACTACTTGCCGAGACGTAGTCGCATGACTCACTTTAGCTAAAGTTACGAAAAGGATTAAGTACTCTGGAGGTTATTCGCATAACCCACGTTCCAAGTTTCTAGAGCATTAGGTCACCTTATAATAAAAAAATAATTATCTTTTAAATACATTTGTTCTTCACGATTTTAATTGTTTCCAAGAACTGGCATTTAGGATTACCATCAACCACCATTGGTAAGGTTTTGGCCAATTATTTAATATCACTAATATGCAGTAGTTCCTGGCTGTCAGCATGAATGGGCCAAATTTACCTTCTTGTTTAGCTGATATTGTATCTACATACAAGATTTCAAAAACATCAGCTATGACCTGATTATTGAAACAAGCTAACTGTACTTATAGTCTAAAACATCAAAGAAGAAAGGAAAAAGAGCAAAAAGAAAAATGAACAAAACGAGTGAATAGAACAACGAACAGAAGGTCCAGCCTTGGCATAAAGAAACATTAAATAGCTTTCTTCTCCTAAAAGCAGTGAACGTACAGATACTTAACTATTTACTGCAAATATTACACACCGCAAAGTCAGGACTTTGTCATAGGAAAGTTGCTCCTATATATAAAAATACAGACAAGTTGCGGATAACAAATTGAACCAAAAAGACGAAAAAAGTACAGAACACATTAGCAAAAAGTTAAATATGATTAAAACAGAGGAAAAGGGAAAAAAAACCCTCTTAATTTTCACTATGAAAAGCAATCCTTTGGACAGGATGACTTAAATGAGGAGTAGATTACAATACAAATTCCACAGTCTTTTTTAGCATCTATTAAAGCCATTCAAAGCTGGGAAGGCTGGAAGATAATACTTACAGAGAACTAAAACCTTTCAGGCTATGTCTGCATTAATAAATTGGACAGCTTTAGGGTGGAACAGTCCAAACCCTGAGGTCAAAATGTATGAGGTGCACACTAGTAACCGCTCAGACTCCAAAAGGAAGGATACAGGCAAGGCCTATTGGGAATGGTCTCTGTACCCCTGTAACCACCCAACTCTGTCTTGGAGTTGATCTGAGAAAAGTGCTGGATGGAATAGACCAATTTCCACCCAAGTATGTTCTCACAGTTGTGTTCCTAAGTCTAGACATATCCAAACTTACTAGCCTAAGACAGAATGATTTATCAGAAATAGGAAAACCAGTACATCTCCAAAAAGACAGATATCCTTGGTAGCATACATTCAGAAAGAAAAAAGAGGTGGGGACAAATTCTAGGAGAGCAGCTAGAAACCTACAGGGTCTTCAGGAACAAGGGAGGATAAGGGTATGGCTTAAAAAAAGTACAATGCCTGACATGCAAATATATTCTTTGTAGCTATGAGTTAGTTTGTTGGACTGATCATATGCCCTATGTTGTCTTCTTGTTGCCTTAACAACTTTTCTCAGAGAAGAAAAAAAAGAAAAAACCAACTATGTGTACTGATATAGCAATTGCTAATTAGTCAACTATTAATCTCTAGCCTTTTCAGATTTTCAAACACTTGTGATGTTTCTGCTAAAGGTTCTAATTTAATATCTAATTCATTGTTTCTCTGTTGTTGGGATCACAAAACTAACCATTATGCCTGGTTAGTTTTAATTTGATCCTTGTTGTCTCCAAATCACATCAGCATTATAAAACTTAAACTGAAAACACAGGTTCAAATCCATCATCTTGGAAGAACAAAACTGTATGAAAAGTGACTGTGTGATAAAGAATGTATTTTTTCAGTATAAAACAGCATTTACAAGTTTAAGCAATATTTACTATATGAATCAATAACATACTTGGTTGCACCATCATCATATGTTCCCATTAACACTATCGTTCCATCCTGGATGGACTTCAGAAATTCAATAAATGGTGCCACATCTGAAAAGAGAGAGAACACAAAACTGTTTCATAACAAGCAACCAACCCATATTTAAACACCTGCAATGCCTTCCTGCAAAGACATTCCTTTTAAGAATATTTGTAAATGTACTTATAAATTTATAAAAATATGCTGAGTCAGAGAAAGATAAAATGCATCAGAGAACTTTTATTTTATAGAAAGAGTCTCCATCCATATTGTGTAAAGACATAACCACTAGTGGGAACTACTCGGCAGAATAAGTGTGTTTGATTAACCATACCATTCCCTCCCACCTCAACTATTTGTGTTTCTTTAAAGTTGCACTCCCCTCACAATTACAAAGGTAGAGGCGAAACACTCCCTTAACTATCACCTTAAATCACCACAGCAAATGGAGCCTGGAGAAAGGGTTGGGGGGAAGAAGGGGAAAAACCAAAACAAAACACAAAAACCAATACATCGCCCCCCCCCCGAAGGCATTTAAGTTGTTTCTCTCTAACCAGCTAAGGTAACTGCACCTACCTCCTCCCCACATGTCGAAGAATTTAGTGTCTAATGGTTCTCCTGTTTTACCTGGAGAAGAAGGAAATATTTTGTGTCATAAAAGAGTCAAAATTATTTTACAGACAACATGCCCAACTCCTCCAACTCTTTCAGAGAAAGTGCTGCAGAAGGCACTATATAAATCAATCACTACGGTAACTCTTATCTTTTATGAAGATTACTCCTTAAACAACATAGTGGTTTGTGAAAAGGTGCAGGAAAAGGTAAGAAGAAAAAAAGAGAGAAGATGCAAGCTTCTGATTTTGCTTCAAGTGGAATATAAAACAAAACAAAAAGCCCACAGCTTCTAAAACCAATAAAGTGAATTCACTTCATATCTTTACCTTTTTTTTCTTTTTAAGTTGATTTTACAAAAATAGACACTACAGCTATAGATTGCCTTTAGTGCCATAGAAAGTAAGAAACATTAAAATTACACTGCATGTTTTGCTATAGATTGGAAATTCTTAGTCAATTTAAACATCCAGAACAAATAGGAGGAAGTGGACAATATAGTAATCTCATTAGCTTTTTTTTTGGCAGTATTTGATGGAACCTAGAGATTTATTTTTAACACATACATTCATTTAAAGTTTGGAAGACAGGGAGAAAGACTGGCAGCTATATAATACAAAGGTAGGTATTTTGGTTTTGAACAGATTGAGACAATTTAGGAGGGCAAACAGGATTAGGCGAGTATTGCTCAAGTCATGCTTTAGATGACATAAACCTGAGTACAATCCAAAAATAACATGACTTTATATTGCACTGAAATGACAAAGTGCTATCTCAGTGCTACAAGGAATTGCTTCCTACACATTAAAGACAAATCTGCCAGTACTGACATTCAGTTCAGCTTTCAGGGTGACACAGGTAGATCCGTTCGGTTTGAAGGAAAGTTAAGAATCCTGAACACAATTACATAACATGATGTATTTAGGGACAAGATCTACAGATACGAACTAATCAAATATACTGATTTCAAGCTAGGAAATAACAAGCTGGTCTTTCCATGTAGTAACAGAATTGTTAACTAAGTTTCACTGAAAAGAGAGCAACAGAAGAATTTAGTCTACAAACTTTTATTAGTGGTGGTAACACAAAATCAAAAGAAGTAGCATGCATCTCGTGTCTTTTTCCATCTTATATGTGCATTAGGAATTTATCTGAGGTATCACTGAGATAGTCATCACAGCATTTTTAGAAACAAAAATGCACTGAGTTTTTCTACTTTCCAACAAAAAGGTGTCAGCCAAGATCTGACATTATCTCAGTATAAATATGCTGAATACTTCCTTTCTCCTCCTGCTTGCCTTCCACCATCCCTTAGTATTTCAGCTTAAATTGCAGAAAATTTGAAAACGAAGACTATCTGCTCACTTAAAGTGTCACTTACCATTGACCAAGGCCACATTTATTCCTCTGCCAACATTATTTTTAACTCCACTCATTAAACTGAAACAAAATAAACAATTTTATTTTTAATAGGACGATTTTCTGGTGTGAAATATTTCTGGTTTTTAAATAGGATCAATTAAATTGTACGAGGTACATAGTTGAAAGACCACATGTTTGTGAGTACTTAAATGAAGCAAAATCTCCTTGAACTAATCTGTATGCTCTTACGGCACCACCGAATTGAGAACAATAGATCAAATTTCCCTAGTTGTATCCATTTCATTTGATCGCTTAATCATCTTGGTTTTAAAGTATGCGTGTATATTAAAAGTGTCACAAAAAAATAAAGTGCTATTAATGTATTTAAGAAAATTCCTTGTAGTTAAAGAGCCTGAAACAAATAATAATTTGAGGAGCTTAGCAGTCACATAACCAACATTTTAAGCTTTTTTGTAAGCACATGATGAACAAAAATATGTCAATGAGTTTAAGAGCTAACTGAACATAGGCATTTAAAATTAATATTGCAGCATCACACTAAGAAACAAGAAAGTCAAAGTAGTTAGCTACTTGTACCTATAACAGGAAACCTAAATCCAAGAAAAATAGTTAATACACTGATGGGACACTAAACAAAAGTCGAATATAATCTTGGAGTACAGTTACACATCCCAACAAAACCATCACAATTATGACAGCAATTACTTGGCCAAACTCACAGAGGCAAAGGAGCTGGAAAGAGGAGATGCGTTTTGAAATGGAAGTCCTTGAGAGCTGTAAAGAAGAACTAACGGGAACATCAAGACTGTTAGCTAGGATTCTCCGCTGCCTTGGGCCATGGTGGGTGTACCACTCCAGCGAGAGGAAGCTTCCAGACCTCCTCATCCCTTTTCACTGGCACTGTGTAAAGATCTGTGTTCTGCTTCTGGGCCCCAAATATCCCAGCACTGACATTTTGAAGCTAAGAGTAAAATAGTTAACACACACAAGGAGAAAGAGGAGTAAGGGTTGAAACAATTACATAAATTAAGATAATGAAGAAGCACGTATCTCATTAGCTACAAACACACTCTAAGAGATGCTTTAATTCCATCCTGATCAGGATTTCTTTAATCTCCCTAGCTTGCTCTAGGAAAGGGGCTGCAGACACGTATAATTCTGTTATGTTCAAAATTTTTTTCACGTTTCTTCTATGATCATATGATTTTCAGGTCATGTCTGAACATCCATTCTAAGCAACATTTCGGAAGGACCACATCCTTACACACAGAACTGCAACATCAGCTTCCTCATGCCAACTTATTAATGATAGGCTTAAAACAAGAAATGGGCTATCATAGAAGTATGACAAAAGTGTTCCTCTCTGATGCTATCTTTAGCCCCCAGGATGAAGACAGAAGCTAAAATTGAGAGGAGTGTCAAATTTAATAGACAACTGTTAGGAACAGACTCCGTATTAGCTAGTTCAGAGAGGTCGTGAAAGATTAATGGTAACTCTTGGCACAGTGACTTAGGTTTTAAAGAACTAGTAATCAGAGATGAAAGAGTCCCTATTCTTTTGTTAGTCCTTTAAGTTATACCATCTGCCAAATTCTGAGTAAAATTAAAACCCTAATTCAATAACTTCCGAAACAGAAGACTTGAAATTTTCTGTTGAAATGCAGAATTCGGCTCTGGTTAGTAGGGAACTCCAGAAGTGTTTTAGCTACTGGAGGATTATTTCTTCTCTGATCACACTATTTTCATGTCATGTCTCAGCATCCACTCTAAACAATAAAGTCATACGGCAAATAAAGACTGAAAACATAAATGAAAAAAAGGCAGTGAAGTTCTGAACACATTCCTTTGCTCATATAAAATTCAGTGGACATTTAATTTACCAAAATGAATAAGAACTTCCTTTTATTTTAACTACAAAAGCCTCTGCAAATAAATACCAGTCAAAAAATACCCAATACTGGGGTGGCTAGGTGCTGAAAATCCACACATACATAACAAAAGTTATGTAGGATTTCAGACAACAAAAAAAGTCCTGCAGATAGGAACACAAGAATTACTAGCTATTGAAGAAAGGTAGTGCGACATTCTGCTGTAAGGTTACTGTGGCACAATCATGGAACTGGCTTCTTAATATAAGAAATAGAACTGCATGGAGAAGTTGTTGGTAAAGAAATACAGCAATATCATCCCTTCTTCTAAAAAGCCCATGAAGTAGCAACTACAATATTTAGTATTTTGATGACGACTACAGTATGTTTTTTCTAATTTGGATTATGTCCTTTCAATACAGGAGAACAAGGCTATAACTGAACTTCTATACAGCAGAATTCCTATTTCACACCAAAATATCTGTATCATTAAAAACTAAGAAATTAAATGCATTCTGAATTATATCAGCACCTTGAGTGCTCTCATTAACCAAGTGACATCCTTATGTTTAATACATGGCAAAAAACCTACATTGTAAATACCATTGGCAAATGATGAAAACTCATCTCTCTTTCCTTGCCTTAGAAGTATAAAGAAGAATACAAAGTAATCAGAAAAAAGTATTTTGCAGGAGTGAGTTCACAAAATATCACTTAAAAAAAGAGCTACTGAAGAGGAAGGAAGCTCTTTCGGAGCTCCAAGACACTACTTTACACACCTGAGAGAGCTTGTGCCCCAAGTCACAAGCGCTCCAGGCTGCAATGTGACAGCTCTCTCACAGGAGGGCAGCCCTTCATCAGCTTTACAATTCTTCCAATAATTTACAATCGACCAGTTGTGGGAGCTTTTGACAGAGAAATCAAAAGTCTTACAAGCAAAGCTGGAGATAATATAAAATTAATCAAATTTTCTGGTAGACATTTAAATAGACAGGACAAGTCCCCCTCAGAAGGGATTCAGAAAGATTTCTGTCAAGGGAAACTGGACTTAAGATTCCAACAGTTGTGCATAGAAGATTTCCTGCCAGCAACTACTTTACTACTACTACTACAACTAGTTTACTTTCTTTCCACCACTTTCTTCAGTGAAATGTCCAGTAGAGGATTTTTTTTTGACAGGAACAACAATCTCCTCTTAGTTAACCACTAAGCGAGACATTTAAAAAAAAACAAACAAACAAAAAAAAAACCCCAAACCCTACAATCCTGAAGTTAAAATATTACTTGCATTCCCACAACTTTTAATCAGAGAATCACCCTAAGTCTTCACAGATATTAAGCTTCCTGGTAATCAGAATAAGAAGGTAGCATGGTTTGCAACATCAACAAAAATATCCCGTAGAGAGATTAGATAAGACTGCCCAAGGTCACAACGCAAATCAGTAAGAATGGAAAGCAGAACCTAGCAGCTTTTAGTACGTGCCAACGGTGATGTGCTCACTTCGCATGTGCTCCCCGACTACACCGTGATGCTCCGCCGCAAACGCGCTCCTAAGCAAGCCAGCAAGCTTGAGCTAAGTCAGCCTCATAGAAGAATGGTTTGAAATTTGAATGGTGCTCATGTTTCTACTAATACCGCAAAGCAAAGAAGCTGCACGTGTTTAGCCATCAAGGAAAAAAGCTCCCATTTCAACTTCGCTACATCTTAATTGCTAGAGTTAATGCTAAAAATAGTCATCTTTAAGATCACACAAGACTACTCTCTAAAGTAACTCTGTAAGATTAAAGTGATGGAAAAATGTAAACCAATACTTTTTACTCTTATAGATTAATTATCATATTTATTATATTACATGGGATTACGCTGTTCACAGTGAAGTTGCCATTTGCTCTACAATTCGCTAGCACTAACTGCTGTACATGCTATCTGAACTACTCCGTACTAACACAGCACGGGCTGAGAAACAGTTAAACTGGAGGAGTTTAAATGCAAACGGAAGGCAAAGGCTTGTAAGTGTGACTGATACTAAAAAAAAATCTCCTTCCGACAACGCTAAAATCAGGTCTTTTCTGACATGTAACATGCAAAATTGAGTGGATAGATTATGTTGTAGGAAGCTGCACACTGGGTGACAATGAGCAGGAACAACCTAAGAGCAAAGAAACAGAGTCTGAAAACAAGTATTAATATTCCCATTATGGGGATTACTCAAAGGTATTCAGTTAAATACTCTAGGCAAAGTATTACTGGTAATGCTGTGCTAAAAATGTGGTTATTAGAAATACAGGACTTTAACTCAAAACCAAAGTGTGTTTCAAGCAGTTCCTTTCCCCATTTCACAATTATTTTAAGTTTATTAACTGTAGTTACCATGAGCACAATTAAATAACTACTGATTATCAAAATACTATTTTTCCCTTTTGAAGTTACCCTTTAAAGAAAAGTTGAAAATACTTTCTGACATTGGCACTATAGAAATAGTTTAAAACATGACTTGCAAAAGACAATTCCACAGCGGAGTTTTAGCTGATGACACTCAGTTAGAAGTATCAAGAGTAATTACTTAAAAATACAGTAGTTCACTGAATTACTATTAGAGGCACAAGAACAAGTTACTTGGAGAAAAGTTTGCATCTGACTTGAAGTCTAACTAATCAAGCCTGTAAACCTCAAGGTGTAAGCTATCTTGCATATATTAAAACAGTGCACATTTCTGTATTTATTGCAGAGTATTAAGTGTGCTTCATCAGAGACTAAGTTACAATGCAATATAATTTTTTCATGTAGTCAAACCGTTGGCAAAACAAAACCTACAAAGAATCATTTAAACTACTGATTTTGTGTGCAAAGTGATCCAAGACAGCATTTGAAAGAGATACTTAGAGACAATAGGCAAAAATACTCACATGTTATCTTCTACACAAATTTTAGGTCCAACTACATTTGCTGCTCCACTTGCCATTTTGAATGCAAAATGTTTTTCAGGACAAGCTTTAGAGATCCCACATTTGTATCTTGGAGGTTTTGTAGCTTTCAAAAGGAAAAAAACCAGTATTTTAGAGACAACACCACAGGTAGGCTAACAGAGAAATATCAGTTTGTCTTCTGAAGGAATTCAAGGAAAAGACCCAAGGGAAAGATCAAAGACAAAAGGTATCTCATCTGCAGTTTCATAGCAGCTTAAAATAATCTAGGTTCCTGCCGTACCTCATTATTCTACTTCTTGTTCTCACCCTGCTGTTTGCTCTGGCACTGTCATCAAAAGCCACAAGGCAAAACAACAAGTAAAATGCTGGCAAAAAACAGACCTTATTAGAAATTTAGGAAAATCAGGAAAAGAGGAAAATTAGGTTCTGATTGCTTTTAAAGTGTAATTAAGACATTCTTAACTAGGAAAATTCATCAGTCTTTCTGTTATTAGCAAAAGCAAGTCACAGCAATAACACATGCATATGAACACTCACAGCGTGCAGCTGCATCCAGTGCTGATCTAGCTAAAATGCAAAAAGAAAGTTTTATAAGATGTTACTATTAAAGTGTCATTTGTTGTAAAATACCCTACAAATTTAAAACCTTTCTGTACCCCCATAAAAACAGGTTGCTTGAAATGAAGTATCAAATACCTCTGAACGTTATGTTCCAATATAAAACATTAACCTTTATACAGTGGAAGAATGAAGGTGGTGATCAGGAAGCACGTTTCAAAGCACTGCATGAATTTATGACTCTCCAGTTAACACAAAGGTCCATGTAGATACAAAACCACCAGGGATTTGTGGAGGTGTGGACACTAAAGTGAAATGAACTCCCTTCTTACCGCTTCACCAGGATTGGGTTCCTTTCACCTAACACTGGAAGCCTGCAACTCAGGTGTATTTGAACCCAATCATTCATGACTCCCTTTCTTGGGGTAGGGAGAGACATAAGTGATCTCATCATGCACATATTTACAACACATCTGTAACACGTAATGACACCTGTGTCTCTTCAACAATTACTAAAGATGCCTCTGCTGACTGGTTCAGATGTCGGCTCACACTGTAGTAATCTGGAGTTAAATAACATGAGCCCTCCTCACGTGCCTAAAATTGGTTTCTTGTAATGAAAAGCCCCTGTCAAGTTGGTTCAAAACATAGACTCTGAATTTTAAGTCATGACAGCTGCTAATCCTTTTCTGGGTAGAGCCTGGGCACATCTGAAATGTTTTGACTACTGCATGTTCAATTGTACATGGTAGCGTACCTGTGCAAGCAAAAAAGCCCACTCAAAACATATATTTTTAACTGCTTAAGCAGCAGAAAGGCAGAGTGCAGATTTCCAGAAACATCATTCAACTCGCCTAGTTTACATCTCCAGACTAAGACTGTAAGTACCAGTAAACAGAAAAAGCAGGTAAAATTATACACACTTGGCAGGTAAAAGAATCAAACTGATTAAGAGAGTAGCTTAAATATTTCATACAGAAAATAACTTCATACATACATACTATATATTATATATGTAAAATATATATAAAAATAACAAGTACACACAGTAAAAATAAACACAGAGTTCTTAAGTGTAAGAGCCTAAGTAAAGCTTAAAACAAAATGAATATGATATGCTTGACTATGGCTCAAGTAAATATTAATAGATGTCCAGAGAAAACAAAGTCATCACTTACCAAATATGTGTCCTAAGTTTGCATCCATTTTTATTTCAAACACTTGAGATATGACATAAAACGTCAATAAAAATATTGCTACGACTACTATCAACTTTGCAGCACCTATTCAGAAGCAGAGAAAAGTTTCAAAAAATTATCTGCAAATGGTAACATTGAGTTTACCAAATTTAACTACATGAGAAATGTGTATCAGATTACATCAAAGGGAACTCAGGAACAGGATGTTCATTTGTGGACTCACTAAACAGAAGTAATCTGTAAGAAATGGACATTACCATGTAGGATGCAACCCAACCAGTCCATCAGGTTACTATACCAAATACATACCCTGCTCTCAGCTTTCTCCAGCCTCATCCTCATCTGACATCACAGTATACCAACTCATCTCAGTAGCCAGGAGAAACCACAGACTTTGCTGTGGAAATCCAGCTTAACAAAACGAATTAAGCTGATCTAACTGGCTGCTGTCCATCCAAAGGGGAAATTCCCACTTCCACCCATTCCACTTCTCTGTTCTTAGCTATATGTACCTGTTTCCCCACTGTTCACAAATACTCCTCCCTGTCACACCCCACCTGTCCAAACTGAGCTACCTCTATTTTAATGTATGGCCAAGACTGAGTGAGCAGGGATCTGTTCAAATACTGTAGCTTGGCTGCTTTGGTCAGTCAAGTTTGAGCATTACATTAAAAAAAGGCAAAAAACCAAGCAACCAAAAAAGCCTCCTCACCTCCTCTTCAACAAATTTAAATTACTGACCTTCAAAAAGCAAGTCTGAAGACTCAAAAGAACTAATTTTAAAAGCAATAAAAAGCAGTACCTCTCCCCTCTCCCTTTTAATATGTTGAAGCCTCAGGTAGCTTGAAGTTTTACAAGCCTAACTTTCTCCAGTGCTGAGCAGTCAGAGCTACCTCCTGGGAGAAGAGCTGGAAGCACACAACCACAGCAATTTACACCTGAAATGGAATGGAAGCTCAGGTGTATGTGGTACTGCCATGCACCCTGCCATTTTTCAGCATAATTTTCAATAGATTTTTACAGAATACTCCACTCAGCTTATTGTAAAATACTAACTGAGAGCAGAAGTTAGGTGAGGAGGCATCTGATCAACAGCCTGCCTTCCTGTCTCACCCCAGTAGGTCAAACTGTTTGGAAGAAGTAACATTACAGCATGCTTCTGTTTCTCAGATTGCCAGCCAAATAAATCCTCCAGAAAAAAAAAAACCAACAAAAAAAAACCAACAAAAAACCCCCAACTTATGTACTCTTGCAGATCTCAGACTGCTGCTGTGATGGGCTGCTCAGAAAACCTTAAAATAGACAGATTACTCAGAAGGATGAGAGATGTTAATCAATCCTTCCAAAAGGCTAAAAAAATATAAGGGGGTAGAAAAAGAAAAGGAAGATGAAGAAAGAGATACAACTTTTTTGTTTGCTTGTAGTTTGGTCTTCCTCTCCCACTTTCCCTTTTCAGGTGTGTGAGCACCTACATACTATGTAAGAAAATACAGAGGCAAACTTAATTTAAAAATATTATGCTGGAACTCCAAAGATTATTGCACTTGAAAGGAAGTGAACTGCATGTCAGCACTAGAAAAAACAGATGATCTGAACATACGTTAAGAAGTGGAGAAAAGGTTTTCAAAGCAACACTGCTTAAAAAGAGAAGATGGTACCAGATTTTGGAATGTGTCATCTAGCAAGTGGCACTTGGATAGCATGTTGTTTCAGTAGATAGTAGGCGAGATGAACAAGAACTCAATCTGAGCACTAACCATCCCTTCCAGTCTATAACCTGAGACTTTCAACTGAACTGCGAGCGCTCCCTCTAAGGAAGGGGTAAGAAATCTCCTAGAAAATTCTTCTAGCTCTTGAACCAAAACCAGTCTGTCTCTTACGGGTTAAACATCCCATAGGAACTGCCGTATCTTCTTTGTTTGTGGGTTTTAGCAAAAAAAGTAGTTAGAAGAAAAAAAAAAGAGGTTTGGAAAAGTAATTTTCCAGGTGATTTAGCCATCTTCTAAAAATTGCAGCATTTTCCAGTTCTTTATCAGATTTGCAGGGTGCTCCCAGTTACACATATTAAGGTTAATAAAGCAACTTTAGAAGTAGTGACAAAAGTCAGGACTAATTTCATGCATTAAGAAGGTCAATATGCAACTCTCTTGGAAAAGGTGTCATTCTCTCCTAGAAGAGCCAACAGTTGCTCCTTCTGCAACATAACGGTACAACTATTGATAAAAGTGCAATGCATCAGAAACTCGAAACTATTCAATTGCCACACAGGCTATTCTACTGCAAGGAAATAATATTTTCTGGTAGCGTTATATTGGCAAAGATCTTATTCTTACAACCACTACACATTCTGTCAAGTAAAACACTTTTCTCAAACCATGTGCTACAGTAACTTACCTCTATGAAAAGGCTTTTATAGCTTTCAAACTCCCAGTAACCATTCAGGAAGTTTCAGACACTATATTATAATAGTGTATAGCACTTTTGGTTGGGATGTGAGAGAGGGAAGAAATCACTTAAGACATCAACTGGCCATTTCCTTATTCCTTCATCATCGTACAGAATTAGCAGCCAAAGTATGTCAAGTCACAGCACCTTAACCAGTCACTGCAGATTAGCTGAAGCGTTTTAACCAGCTGCTTGCTCTTACACTATCCCAAATTCCAAAATTAGTTTCATTAAACATCAATTAAATGGAACAGCAATGCCTGTTGTGCCCGTTAAGTTTATTTTAAAACCTTACTGTCACAATTTGTTAATGCTGTCTATAGCACTTGTTTCACAAGCAACAAAAGTCTGATTTTACTGAGCATACTTACCTGCTATTCTCATCTTTAGTCTTCAGCCAGCTAATGACACTACTGCATTAAAAATAGCCACCTAGGGAAAAAGGAAAGCACACTGTTGTAATTACAGGCAAATAAGCACTTTTGTGGTGAGTTAACAGTAAAAAAACCCAAACACATAGATTTTCTAGCCAGTAACATTAATGATGATTGTCCTCAATACCTAATTCTTAACACTCACAGTAAAGAGAAAATTTAGGATGGATTTCTGATGTATTGCTTTCATTTGTTACTCCATGAAACAAGTGTTCTGGAAAATCATTAATTTAATTTCATCAAATCCACTACAAATTCCATTCAACTTTCAACCCTTCAATTTGTGACATAAGCATTTAACAGCGCTGTATGTAAGCAGTCTTTGATTTCCTAAAGCTATGTGGTAGAAGTCAACAACTCCATCTGCATTGCTTCAAAGTCCTAGCAACTTCCAGATGCAAGTTGTTATCTGGCAACATAACATAGCAAATTGTGCTTTGGAGAGAAAAGATATAAGCATTTTGGCTTTTAGGATACTGCATAAACTGCATTGAATGGAACTGTAAAAAGGTTATTCTAATACTTTAATCTATCCATTACAGAAATGTAATAACACTTTTGTCACTCATAGCAGCATCCAGAAGATTCACGTGACGGTCAATGGTGACAGAAGCACCAACCCTAGAACTGAGGCTGTTTCGGAATAAACTGAAAACCATTGCCTATGAGCAACCACCACATAAGCACCCACAAGTTTCTTCTTGAGAAGAGCCTGCCACCACGTAAAGTCAAAACAGGCCACAACCTACACAGACTCTGCTCAAAGACTACCACCTCCTCCTCAAGCAAGTTCTTGTCCCTGGGCTGTACTAAATCTAACACTGTAAACTTTACCAATGAAATACTACATATCTATTAGGAACATGGTAATTTGTTTTACAACATTTAAGTAGATTAAGGTTGGAAAAAAATTTTTTTAAAGAAACTGAAATTAGAATTTCCTTGAAGACAGTAAGCAACCTGAACTTTCTCTCTCATTTCTTCTATTCTTATGATCATACCTGAAGAGCCCTGAGTTCATGATTCAAAAATACCCGAGGCATTCAGACAAATAACACTCTGTAATCAGTACTTCCCTTCTGGATTAAAAAGAAATAAATCTATTTCTGAATTTGCATTTTGCTGCGTAACTACTTACATTTAATATGGCAAAAGAAAAACTGTTGGCATTCAGGAATCTCGCTGGATCATCTACAGTAAGGCTGAATTTGAAAGAAATAAACTATCATTCTAATCACAGTAGCTGTCCCACACCCCCATCACTAAAGCTACAGCATCCTAACACTCTGCAGTCCCATGCCACTATTTCGAAAACCAAAGACATTATCTTTAGAAATTATTTCAAAAACTACTGTTATTAGAAGTCAGGAAATGCAAATCATTTGGAGATCACCAAAACCCTCACGTAATTCTCATGGTCTATGCTGGGCAGGAAAAATTGATATTATACAAACAACCTTTTGCCTTTACTTAACTCAGTATCTGTAAAAGTTCAGTGATTTGTGTCCAGATCCTCTTTGCCAAAGGCACAGTCATTGTGCTCTATTGCTTAAAGTTTCCAAGAAAATGGTCAGCAGAGAAATAAACAGGAAAAACCAAATACAAATATAGAAATATTTATTTCTACTCCATAAGAGTTTGAAAATAAGTATTAACAAAGTTTGAACAGCAGACAAATGTTCTTGAATGCTAAGATTGTACTACAAGGGAAATCCTACTGTGGACATAATATATCCACTATTTTTATAGCCACATATATTATCTCCATACATAGTATCTTCTTTCAGTGAAAGGCTAGTCTTTATCTGTCTTATAAAAAGGCAAAAAGAATCAGCAAAAGAATCAGCCAGGGCAGATAAACTCATTTTATTTCAAAGTCTGTGAATAGAATTATTCTGATCTCCTTTCTCTCCTCTCCCCACCCCCAGAAATACAGCAACATTAAAATAAACACCGCCTGTAGTCTGAACAACCATGAGCTTGTTTTAAGCCAGCACTGAAAAAAAAGTTTCCTCTTTTTGTTTTACTATAAGCGAAAACACATAACGAATTCAAAGCACGAAAGGAAGAATATGAACAAAACCAAAAAGCAGAAACTAAGTGAAATGATCAGATGATCCGACCTCGACTGAAGAATACCTTTGTCCCAGCAGCCCCCATCTCAACGATCATTATTTGTTGCAATCAACAAATATACAAGAGATAAGAGGCTTTTTTTTAAGTGTCAAATGGTTTTGATTTAGAAAAAGTAAAAATGAGTATGTTATGCCTCAACTTGAAAGGAATTTTAAAAGTGATTTAGAGATTATTTTTTTTTTCCTAAATTACAGCGTACCAAAAAATTGCGGGTTTTGATCTAGAGAATAAGTACAGGA